ACTCGAGCGCGCCCCACACTTTAATGTCCCTCCCTCCCGGCCCGACCCGCCCGTTAGGGTCTGCCCATTAGGGTCCGCCCGAACGCGCCCGACCTGTCCCGCCCGTCAGGGTCCGTCTGCTTTTCCCGACCCGCCCGTTATAGTCCGCCTGGCCCGACCCGACCCGACCCGCCCGTTAGGGTCCGCCCGCCCGGCCCGACCCGCCCGTTGGGGTTTGCGCCTGCCCCGGCCTCCCTCCCTTCTTCTCCTCCTGCCCTGGGAGGAGCCACTACGACAACGCCGACTTGCCGACGAAGCGCTTGGTGGTCACGGGCCCCGAGCCGCACAACCACCTGCCGACGCCGGACGCCCATGTGTACGCACAGGCGATGCACGCGGCGCGTGAGCAAGCAGTGACCCAGCCCACCGCTAACGCTGCCGAGCTGGCCAGGCAGTGCCTTCTCCAGGTGCCGGGGGACGAGCTCCAGTTTGCCCCGGGCAATGCCGCCCTCAAGGACGCTGTGTGGCGGGCGCGCCGGTCCGCCAAGCGCCGCCGCGAGGACGCCGACGAGGCTCGGGGCAACGATAGGGGGAGTGGGCATGGGGGGGATGCATCGACTTCCGATTGTCCCTGGATCGCCGATGGGGGGCCCAGAGCCCCACTCCGACCGCAAGGTGCGGATGCACTATCGGGGGCGGATCGCCGATCTGTCGGCGATGTATCGCCGATAGCACGTCGATGCGCCCTCACCTATGCCAGTCCCCCCCCTATCGTTGCCCCTCAGAGGTGCAGCCCGGCTCGTTCGCCTCCTTGGAGGACTTGGTGTGGCCGGAGCCTTTCGTTGTCCACGGCGAGGACCGCCGCAACAGTTGGCCACCACCGCAGCCACCCCCTGCCGTTGCTGTCCCTCCTCCTCCTCCTGTTCCTGTTCCTCTTGTTCTCTTTGCTCCACGAGTTCCTGCCCGGCCTCCTGGCCGTTCTTCGTCGTACTCCGTCTCCTGATCATCCTTCTGTACGTTTTCTTCGCCGGCCCTGCGGTCGGCCTTCCTGCCGCCCC